AACATTGGTTGGACTGCGACGTCCATTTAACGTCATCTTAAACCACGTCGGAATAGATAAACAGTTTACGAGTGTTTGGTTTAACCATTTTTGATACAAATGGAGCTTAATATTCAATACTCAGTATCAGTGGTCCGGGAAAACGTTTTTGATATTCACGTTGAACTTGCAATAGGTAAATTATTTCGTATTTCTGATTTTCCGAATAAGCCATATTATAAACAAATAGCGATTCTAGAAATTATAATTACACTGTTAATGGTTGTCAGGATGCCATCAAAATTTATAAACATTTTGCACTCATTTTTTTTTTATTGGTATGATCAAAATATAATAGAGCCCATCCTTTTTAGTAAACTCTGTAGGCTGGTGTCAAAACATATATCATAACCTAGCACGCACAAGTAAAGGCAGAAGGTCTCGACCAATTTGTTTCTACTGATGAGACATGGATATTTCAAAATGGTACGATAGATCATTCTTGGGAATTTCATTAAAGCTTAATTATTAAAAAAATTAAGATATTTCCACATTTTCTTCACAACTTGACAACAGGAACATTTTTATGGTTAATGATATGCAACGGACTATGCTTGGGCTAGTAATGGAATTTTTGTTTAAATTGTGCAATGCTAGATTGAATATTGTATGTATTTTTGCTGTTTTTGGGATCTGATATTGAATTATTAAAATTTGTTGTTTTCCGCACTTCTTATCGCCTAGGATTAATTCTCTTGGTGTATTGGGAAGTATAATGACACAAATGCCAATAGCTTGCCAACGCAATCTCGACCTTATCGAAATAATTATTAGTCCCAACTAGTGTCACGAAATTGTAAATATTTTCGCAGCTACAACTTTAAAACAAGATTTGTATAGAGCAGACTTTCTCCGCCAATTTAGCAATGTTATTTTGACGGTGCTCTGATAAACGTTTTCCTGCAACCACCTCTCATCTCATCACCAAAACAAAATGATAAAATTGTCTAAAATGTAATTAACTCCGATCAAGAATTTATGATTCTAGGTGACTTTAATATTCCAGATACTTATTCGAAAATGGGGGAAATTATGTTAAATGTAATTTATTACAGGCAACGCCATTTAATGCAGTGAAAAATAAAAAATAATATTCTTGATTTAATAATTACTCGAAGAAACTATGATATAAAATCCAAGGTTAGAAACGTAAAATTATAGTAAAAAAACGGGCTAGTCGTATTTTAAGTTAATTTTATGGCAAAACAACTTGTTATTGGGTCTTTGTAAGTTGAATTAATAATAAATACAAAAAAAAATGGGTGAAATGATAATAGTAAAAAATATATTTTCATTTACCACTTGGCGAACATGGAAAATACAAACAAACAAAATTCAATGTAATCTATGCCATTTGCATAGGTACGAATTGATTTCTAGTCGAAATTTTCTTAAATTATGTCGCTCTAATGTCGTCAGACAATCGAAGCGAAGAGTAATTTCCACAAATATTGTATAATCTGTCTCAATCTTCATGCTGCTGGCTTTTGCAATTATGAAAGTTACCTGCCGACGGCAATAAAACTCGGGCTCGGTAGGTATTGAAGGATAAAACATTAGGGACGGACTCTCAGAGATTTTGGTAATATATTTTTTTTGTTTATTGAGGTGGGTATAATCTTATTAAATTACACACAAGAAAAAGAGCCACATTAATTATATAAAATAATTTTGTTTGTCTAATTGTTTTATGTTGTTTTGTACAGAAATGTAAGAGTCCTCAATTTTTATAATGTGCTGTACTGAATTTCTCCTGCTGTCAATTGGTATATTAAAAATTACATTTTTTATCAAATTTATAAAACTGAGACTTAAAATACGAGTACAATTTTTTGCTCTGGCCTTAAATTTTGCTTGGTTCCACAAATATTCTATGGGGTTAAACATTCAATGATATGTAGGAAGACGTAAAACAGTATGCCCTGCCTGTTCGACAAAATTATCGCATACATACTGTTTTTTAATGGCATATAAATTTAGGACTTCCAGAAGTTGCGCTTTTTTGTAACTGAATTCAAAATAAATATCATTTACAGTTTTTGAACTTGATAATGCTGGTGGACAATAACACTGCTATTGGGAATATTTTTTATAAGATTGTTTTGAATCCAATTTTCAATAATTGCGGTACATTTATCCTCATGATAATCCCAGCTAGAATCCTTAATACTCTTTGCAGACTACATCAAGCAGTTTGGGACAAATGATTTCGACACTACATTGTTATATTCTCGCAAAATAACTTTTTCGAAATGCACAGTAAAAACAATTATTGAACACTGGCACAAGTGGTCAACACTCAATAAATATATCAGAAAGAAAGAAATATACCTGGCCCACCCCTTCCTTGTCACTGACGTAACAATACATTTTTTGATAATGACTTTACCCAATAACAATAGGTAATAACATAGTTAAAATTTTATTGGAGAGCGTCCGTCGAAAACCAAAACGATGAACATTGAAACAGATCATACATGATGTGAAAGAGTGTTGCCAAAAAATAAATTTACAAATGAGTTAATATAACAAAAAATAATAAGGGCCCCAAAACATTGCCTTGAGCCACACCCTATTCACTACTATACGGAACCACTTAACATGGTTGTAGGGTGCTTATCCACAATTTTTTTTTCATGCACTGACTGTTAAAACAAATGTAAATTCCAACTTCAATGATAGTAGGCATTACGTTCAATTGTTCCTATCTAATTAATTAAAACAGTATTTTGTTCAGTCAATATGATTCGCGCTTCTAATTTTTCCTGTTGAAATAATTTAAAAGTTTGTTACCACTTTGTTTAAAACAAACGAAAAAAAAAAGTGAACCTTATTAGGCTTTGGCTTAGTATTAAGAAGCATCCTTTAATTAAATCGAAAAAACAAAGGTTGTTCCGTAATGAGCATTTAGAGGTCGCAAACTGGTAAGAAAACAAAAAATAAGCAAATCCAACGAAATTACCGCAGCAAAACGTCGTATGTGAGAGGCGACATCAAATTTTCCCGAATCCCTCTCTCGCTACGGGTAAAAATCAAATAACTGGAAAACATTCGGCGAACGAACGAGGACGAAATTTTCTAAAGCGACCCGATTGATTAGATAGAACAGGGTTAGCAGCTTTGATCGGCGCCATGTGACTCGCCCGAACTTTGCTAACAAGATTTACCGAATCTTGTTTATTTGTTTAAAATCATCGAACGCGGAAAAACGTTTCAAACGTCCCAAAGAAATGCAAGTAATGAAAATTACTTCACCGATTAGTTTCGCGGTTCCGTTATGTTCATTCTCACGTTCTAATTCAATTCGCCACAGTAGCGCGCGGGGCATTAAATTGTTTAATACAGTTTTCGAACGAAGCGATAAATTTCCCCGACACATCTGTTGGATGTAAATAGATATAAATGCATTAAGTTGATACAACAGTTGGTGTTTGCCGTTTCCAACCGCATGGCCATTCCATTATTCGTCGTTACCGACTATTCCCTCCGACTGGATTACGGTTAATCGCAATGTTTAGCTTAGGTGGAGCCAGTATTCTTGGTATATTGGATAGAAAGCCTATAGGCCGAAAACGTATGACGCCATGATTTAACACGCTGCCTTCCCTTTCCTTGAATGAATGAATTGATGACGGTAGTTTATCCTCTCCGTCGATTATATAACTACACCGTTCTATCCAACTTAAAATAACACCGTTTAATTAGGATTTAGTATTAAACCGTTGTTCTCACAGCTATGGGATACATTTAAACAAATAATCCAGCGTCATAGGATACATGGTATCCGCGCGGAAATTATTTATTTATTCAGTTATAAAACTTCCCCGATAAGTGAAAACTAATTACTAAACTACTACGAGTAAACATAGCTCGAAATGAAAAACTAAAAATACGTAAAACAAATGAAGTTATCAATTACAGGCTAGATTTACCCCAAACCAGAAAATTACTTTTAGTTAAATATTAATTAACATAATTTCAACAGGTACCAAATAAACAAAAATGAAAGGACTTGTAATTAGTTTCAGCTCCTATATATTCCAGCTCACGTCTCGTCCTTCCCTTTCATCTTCTAACCACAAATGGTGCATGCGCCAGTAAAACAAAAAAAAATTCTCACTGATCTAAGCTATAACGTAACGTAAACGTAATTAAAATAAATAAGAACTAAAAGTTCAGATTTTCATGAAATTATATATTTTGACATGAGAATTGTTTCGACAACACCGTGTCTTTATCAAATGACATGCTATTTTAAGTTGGTCTGAGAAAACGCGATTTTCAAAGAAGAAATTTTTGTAATAATAGTTGGAAGTTCAGCACAATGACAGATTTCACCAGGTGTTACCGGTCTTAAAAACATGGACTGAGAATTCAGAAGTATTTTATTGGAAAATACCTTTTTTTCTAGGTTTTCTAATAATTCAGGCAGAATTTTCAAAAATTTCATTGCACCAGAGTTCGTTCTGTTTTTTGAAGATGATCATATTTTCTCTTAATAACTCTGTATTCTTGTTTATAACGTGCCAAAAATAATAAAATATATATATATATATATTTATATATATATATATATATATATATATATATATATATATATATATATATATATATATATATATATATATATATATATATATATATATATATATATATATATATATATATATATATATATATACAATGTTAATTTTAACCGTGCACCTAAAAGTAAGGTTTTGCCGTCGTGATTTGCAACGGATAAACATTAAAGCAAACATCTGAAATCCGGAATAGCTATCTTCAGTTTACGTTTTCCCATCTTTTCCCTTGTATATATATGCGCTACGACGACAACGAGACCGGTGAATTTCGCAAAGCGGAAAATACGATGAGCGCGATGTAGCCAATAAAGCGATGATTGGACCCCTCGCCTTTTGAGAACGATTGGGGCACATTTTACGCATTCTTTTTTGTTTCAGATACAGATTTTCGGCTTCAACTCTCAGCTGTACACGAATTTCACGGAGGCGCTTCATAAGGCTCAAGGGATCGTTGTCATTTCGCTTCTCTTGCAGGTAAGTGGGTTTTCTTTTGACAACACAAACAACAAACTTTTCTTTCGACTAGACCAGGATCACGTCACTATATTGCGTTTTAAGTTTTACGATTTTGCGAACGACCTGGTAATAAAAATGCGATCCTATTTGTTAGCGCGTCGGACCACAGACATTTTCTCTTGTTTCCACTAAAAGAAGCATCTAAAACCCGCGAGGATAATTTGGTCAGCTTGAGGAAGGTTTTATTTATCATCTTTGTCAAAAACAGTTGAATAAATATAAAGAATTTGTGCGTCTGGGAGAAACAAAAAGAAACAATTTAAAAGCAAAGGAGGAGTAAATAAAAAGCACTTCTACAACTATAGGGCAAATTATCTGTACCTTTGTTTTAATAAATTTTGTCTAATAAATAAGGTTTGCGATTTACGCTATCTCGTTTGTTCCTAACTTTTCAGGTTGATCCAAGTTCGTCCAAATATTTCTTTTGCAGTTGCAGTTTTCTCGAATATTCAATTTGATGTTGTTTGAGTTTTCATAATATTTTTGATGACTTTCCATTTTCTATGTTTTGTATTATATCGAATCTTTTATTCATCTCCTGTGAATGGATGGATACGGAAGACTTGATATTAATTTATAAAAAAAAGTATAGCTTATAACGCAAATATAAAATAGGAGCATGACCATAGTACCGATATGTTGGCTTTCAAAAAATTTAGTTTAATCTTTTTGTGGTAATAATGAATCTAAAGATTGTCGTTGATTTTGTACCTTTTATTTGTGAGATGTAAAAAACGTTAGTGTTCTCTTTCGTATTAAAATTTTAAGATAGTGGAAAATCGCCTTAAATGGATCCGCAGCGTAATCAAATTAAAAAGAAAGGAAAACCCCACCTCTGACACCAATATCCATGTACCTTGGAATTTAACATTGGAAAAGAATCGATTCATTGTTCGCGTCAAGACAAAAGTCTCATCCATAAATACACGGTTTGTTGATAGTTGTGGGCCTGTGTAAATGATGGACCTGGCGTTCCATTTGTACGGGTGACAATTCTAAATTATATTGCCGACTGGAAAACAACCATTTTCTGATTAAATTTTTTCCTCCTTTCTGTAATTTCCAACGAATGAACGGCATTTTACATGTCGTTAATATTTTATATTATTCAATGGCTTTGGAAAAAACTATGGGATTTGATGAAAGTCATAAAGCATAAATAAAATTTTTAAATGTATGAAAATAAAATTCTTATTTTGTTTGAGTTGTTGTCAGAACTTGGAGTGTGGGATATGTTGGAACACGAAACCAAACGAATGAAATGAACCGAACCCAGATCTTTAACTAATCTTAACGCCTATCTATTTTTCTTTCTGTCCCAAGTGCTAACGGAAAATCAAATATTAAAATTGAATACGCTATCGTAATGAGAAATACGCAATTTGCTTGGTTAGTGTATGTTATTTTATTGTGTTATAACCTCCTTCTTTCGAATACTTTAATAATTCATTTTTATCGTTTAAAAAAAAGGAAATATTGAGAGGCTGATTTCCAGAACGTTACAGAATCGACACACTCCGTAAAGTTCTCTGTCTGTCAATTTTTTTTATTGCACGTTTTTAGTTTTACAGTGCTGTAGAAATAATTTGGAACAGTGAAAGACAGAAAGTCCGCTATAAAAGTGTCTTTTATAATGATTCGACACCCGAGATAACTATTAAGAAAATATTATCATTATTAAGAGAAAGATATAGTTTTTAAGCTTTGTGAAGGCACAAGAAGGCAAATAAACCGATTTTGAAATAAACCTAATGCCTCCATAGATGTTCCATCACACTCAGTGATGAAACCGCTAATGCGTGGACACGGAGAGCTTCAATCTCTGAGAGGTCAAGTATTGGTATTTTCATGTCGCTCTCGTTGTTGCTAGAATAATCGATTCCACAGATGAACTCCAAACAACTGAGGTCTGCAGAACGTCCAATCCAACTCTGGTGAAATGTTCTCGCACATTTCTTGAAAAATGTACGTAGCAGTCATCTAGTTGCAAAAACATATTTTGCCGTAATTGCAGCGAAACATCTTAGTAAAGTAAGAAATTGGTTTACCAGAAAATCAAAATCATAAAAAGGTAGAATACCATACTTGAGACTGATGTTGGACTCGAGCAATCAATGATGATTGTTGTGGGATCAATAATGTATATTTGCAGATTAACGTTTCCATAATTTCTGAAAGTGACCTCATCTATCCAAAGAATTTGGGATAAAAAGTCTCTATTTCCCGTAATCATGCCCAGCATCCCGTAAAATGAGTCGGTCGAAGTATTCTACATAAAAATATTATGAAACATCTAAAGTAGTGTTTTCAGTGACATAAAAACGTATCTTTGATGCTTTAAAATGTTTAGTAGTGCGTGATATCCCCAACGCGTACTAATATGACGATTAAATTACACGAATGCTAAGATATTAACTACATTGTCTTCCGACGTTCTAGCCGATCGTCTTCGCAACTGAGCTCGAAAGCGTGAAAAATTAGGCAAATTTCGCAAATTTAGATATATAGCTCTGTAGCTCTCAATAATATAGACAGTTTCCTTATTTGTAAAAGTCATTACACAGCGTATATAACAAATATACTTTTAATTCAAACTTTGTTCTGTACTTGCATATTATAATATTTTTCGAATATTGTGCCCCACGCGTTTCTTTTTATTTTTTTTTTAACTAAGAATACTTTGATTATTTCAAAATTATAAAATTATGAAGTTTTGTGAATGGATCCTGAAAAAAAAAAAGAGAAAATTACCTGCATAATATCGACTTTTTAAAATTTTATATTTAAATTTTCTTTCTTGGATATTTAAGGCTAGAAATAAGATATCAAGATACGGTTTTTTGACCAGCCTATTTAGGTATAATTTCACCACATTTTTTGGGAAACAAGTCACTACTTTATTTTTATAAATACATCAATATTAAACAAAAATTACTCATATGAAGCTTGGCATATTTTTTTTTTGGTACATTGACTAGAAGGATTTTGGTGAAAAATTACTTTTAAAATTTAAGATGGCCGTTAGGCCTCCTTGGATCCACCTCGGAAATCTAGAAATATTTTTCGCGATTTTCTTTTGGCCACTTTCAAAATAATTTTTTTTACTGCAAATCTCTACGACGAATAGTTTTCGAGATACCGCACTTTAAATTCTTATTTGACCACCCAGGCAAGTGTATTTTGGTTGCAACAGAAGGGCATTTCCGTGAAGAATGGATTCTACCTAAAAAGTTATGTATACTTCAATATTGATACAAGAGTGATAGAAAAATGTAATAAAATATAAAATGTTTTCAATATCGGTGTCGTGCATACTAATAAGGAAATCCTGTGTGAGAGCCCTTACCGCTAAACGTGTCGTTTAAATTTTATTTCACATAGCAACTCTCAAACGGATTGCTAGAATTGATTTCCAAACTAAAATCGAAAGTTTAATAAAATGGATGTTTGCAGAGCGCGAACGAAAAAGAAAAAACAATGAAAATCATTTATTGCGGCTCAATCTATCGAGCATTGATGTCTAAAGTTTTCCGGGGAATTCTGCGGATTATCGCAGCTTGTTCAGTTATAGAGCATTTGATGCTAAAAAAATACCGACCACAGTCAGGAAGAAATTAATTCAACCGAAAATCTGCAGTTGTGTTTGCAGATGACGTGATATCCCCGCATCGAAATGGAATGCGGTCTACCATGTGTATTAATCACTGCATCGGATATAGTAAGCTTTTGGAATTTTTCGTTATGATGTAAGCCGGATATTATGAGCGTCATGTTACAAAAAGGACTCTAATGAACAAATGCAATTAGTGTAAAAGTCAATATACTATATAATATCCCATTTTTAAATTCAGCATTAAATAATTATAATATGCTTATAAAGCTATAAAGCGTTTTTTTTTTACTCTCTACTGTAAAGTACAGAATTATGCCCTTTAAAAACCTTAATTTTAAATAAGTTTTATAATGGCAAGCACTTTTGTTAGCGCTATAAACAGTAAACAAAAAACTAAACTTGGCAGCAATGAATTTTTACTTTGACATTATTATGAACAAATATGTAATATAATATAACAAAAAATCTGAAAATTTGCTACAACGACATAATTTAATTTGGCACAAAAAATATATCGTATAATTTTATATTTTACTATTCCTAAAACTGAAGCGGCATCGTTTTGTGCACTTTGAAAAATAATTTTGCTTAGTTCTTTTTCTAGTTAAAATACAAATCATTTTTTATTTAAATATTTTGTCTTATACTTGCAATGCAATGTTCCTCTTTTTACATAACAATGGCCGCCACGTTCACCAGGTTCGCTTTTTAAAAGCTTATCATTTTATTCATTCAACTCATGTTACTTATAGCAATATTACTCTTGCACTAGAATCTAAAGAGATTTTGAAATACGAAAAGTTTTATAAGCTGTCATAATAATATATTATGCAACAAGTGTGGTAAATGGCATTTGACTCACGAGTTTATTTGACACGAGCGGAGCGCAGCGAAGCGAGTTTTTAATAAACGAGGGAGTTAAAAACTTTACCGAACCTGTTGCATACTATACTTTTTCTACGACCGTTAGTTTTTGGGTACTTTTTCGCAAAACAACACAAATACATTCACTGACATGACCGTCAGAATTGATAAACGTCAAAATTAAAAGTTTGGGAAATATCTCCGAAAACATCCGATTGCTCCCAAATCCGTGCGATAAAATTCCGGAAATGTCCAAAGTTATTTTCCAGACGGGAGTAGAAAAAAAGTTTACCGAACGTGTTGCATACCATACTTTTTCTGCGACCGTTGCTTTTGGAGTACATTTTCGCCAAACAACACGAATACATTCACTGACGTAACCATCAGAATTGACAAAAGTCACAATCCAAGGCGTGGGAAATATCTCCGAAAACATCCGATTGCAAACCTGTGCGGTAAAATCCCGGAAATGTCCGAAGTGGCTCAGATCAGTGGAAAATAAAACTGAAGTGGTAAAGTGGCGCTTCTCGCACGTTAGATCGATGTGTAATTGGGCGTTTTACAGACGGCAGTAGAAAAAGGAATGTTTGTACCTGCTATAAACCAAAAAGCAAATGGTAAATCAATATAAACATATTGTGCGAACGAAAGAAGTTGGGAAAACAGAAGCGTCTTTAACGGACGTTCCGAACGCATGCGGGTTCAGGTTTCATAGTAGCTGTAAAACGTCAGGAATAAAAAATTTGAGGTGTCCAAGAGCAATGGTTTTATAGATAAAGTAAGGGAAGCGTTTTGAATGTAATATTAGACGAAACACAAAAGTTTTCGTTATAGACTATAAAGAGTTTTATAAAAGCTAAGGTTTCTTTATAAAAGTCTTATAAATATCCGTTAATTTATAATTATAATATGTAGAGCAGGCCATGCAGAAAATCATTATTAACAGACAGTTTAATTTGTGTTTATTGCTCTCACTAAGGCCATGAAATTATTAAAAAGCGTTTTCGAAATAATGAAACTGTCGATATGGTTCCTTTATATTTTCAATGTCTTCAAAATGTGACACTATCTTAAATCATTTAGTAAGAATTTTATTTTTGATTTTGATATTAGGCATTTATTTCTTTTTCCATTTCACATGCGCTATATATATGCAACTCTGTCCTTGAATTTTGCAGTTTATTTCCTGCAATTTTCTACCAAAGGCTAACGAAGCATAAAATATATTCGGTTTGCCCAAATTAGGTTGATTATCAAATTTTCTCTTGCATTCTGTAATTACAAAATACGCCTTAGTATGCAGATATAATACGAGACCGGTAAACTTATAACGAGGAAACGGTAGGTAGAAGAAACAATTATTCATTTTACGCAAAATATCGCCATAATTTATAGCGGAAATCTATCCGCTTAATTATAAGTTAGATACATATGAGCCCTGTTGTGCTGTACACTTAGAAACTGTAAAGGAAAAGAGCCATTGTGAATCGAATGACGTTACAAGAATTATTGGAGTTGCAGGAATAAACTACTTGTGCATATAGACATGTTTGCATATGGTGCGGAACTGAGAATAGCGGAGTGGTGGTTAAGCGAATTGAGATGTGTCAATTATTTACAAACATTCGGTTTGCCGTAATTTGAACCAGCACTTAACGATTAAATAATGCAAAATTTGGAGAACGTGTTTATGAAATTCGTCAACTACCACAATTTTATTCAAGTCGAAATGGACGGGGGTTGACGCAAATAAATTACCTCTTCGGGTGAATAAAAAACTCATTCCTAGAAGAACAGCAATATATAGTCTGTTAGATAGAAGGTCAGGGAAAAGGTTAATTGCTCTTAAATGTTACTTTCGTAATTCTTTAATCGAGACACTACTGCAAAACAAACTGAGTCGACACTCGATGGGGAAGTCTGGTATTTTTTTTTTCGTTAAAGGCCCACTAAAACATTTAGTAGATATATTCAATTATAAAATGATTTTCAAAAATGATCACCGAAAGTAAAAGTGTGCAACACTCCAGCAGTTCTTATCTTCCAGTATCATTATATTATGTGGGGTTTTAGATTCTCAAATTTTGGTTGTTTAATATTCCATTCATCCATTCATTTTAGAAACACAATAATTCAAAATTTGAAGACCTTCATTATGATTTTTTATATCATTCCTAATAAATTGTAATAAATGTATTTCTATAACTGACGAACTATATATGTTTCTATTAAGAAGAGCCATAAATCTCTCAATTTTTTTTTATTAATAATGGGTGACCCTGCAGGTATGATCTCTAAATATATACGCAAAACTATGTACCGTGCACTCAATTTATCTTGATAACATCTACATCAAGTAAACGAAAAACAAAACATATCAATTTTCTGACATATAAGCCTACATCATATTTTTTTAATGGAACACCCTGTATACTATATATTACAATGATGTAACACACTTTATATTTTAGTCCACTCGTTTTTGAAAAATCGACAAAAATAGGAAATGCTTATATAACTTCACAGAGTGCCCCGACTGAAATATTACGTTTGACGTATTAGTAAACAACGTTGATGGTTGAATATTGTTGGTTTTTCGCGAATTTAGAATCCATGAAAGGAGAGATATGCTTCAACTATACTTTCTACTCTTTCAAAACAGATATTTCCAAGGCTGGCAAATAAATTGGAAGAAAATGGTAACTTATTAAATGCTGACAAGGAGAAAATAATTGAAACATATTAGGTTTCTATGCAGCACATCCAGTTTTGAAAGAATATAAATATAATGTATTTAAATTTCCTAAAACTCAAAAACTAAGTGCAGAATAACTGCAAAGGAGGATGCAGTTTTGTTTGGACTTTTTAAATAGACGTGAGAACAATAATTTTTTGAAAAACATTTATAGACTGCTGAAAGTTCGTTGCCTACAGGAAAGAGTTGTAAAAGACAAAATACCCTATATTTGTCTTTAAATAATCGTACACAAATATACGAAATTAAAACCCAGGAGTACCAATCAATTAATGTATGGTGTGATGTCCTTAACGGATATATCATCATTTGCAACTCTAAGAGCACGAAATAGAACAATATATAGAAGATTTACCCCAAAAGATATCTGCACTGATTATGTGGCAGCAAGACGGTGCCACTCCTTTTTCTTAACATAGAATATCCCAGGGGTTGGATAGGGAACGGCGGAACTATGGATTGGCAAGCTCACAGCCCGACTTAACTTTAATGGATTTTTTCTTTTGCGAAAACATAAAAAATCACGTGAACAGAAAAATTTCCTATTTTTGCCGATTAGTCAAAAACGAGTGTACTAAAATCGGAATAATATATTCTATTAAAAAAAATGTAGGCTTGTATGTCATGAAATTGATAGCGTTTTGATTTATACGTCACTTAAAAAAAAACTTTGCTATTAACCCTACATTTTGTTTTCTTGTTTACCTTGATATCTCTAAAAACAAAAAAGTTTCAACCAATTAAAATGTTATCAACATAAATTCAACACACGGTACAAATGAGGTATTCAGATGCCAAATAAAGACATCTTCACTGTCTTAAATTACAGAACATTTTTTAAGATAGTTTACAACTTTTTCTCAAATGTTAACAGTTGAAGTGGAGACTCGGAAAACCGGATGGTTTTTTAAAATTTTGTTATTGTACTTTAAATCAACGTTTCTATTAGTAGCCGGCAAATTGGATAAAAAGTTTTTGCTGTCCCCCACACTGCAAAAATGTCGACTGGTAATTTTTTTTCAATTTGTAACATAGTTTTCATTTTATTATATTATAAATGTAATTTATATTATTTTACTACCGACCTACAAGAAATAATATATAATATAATAATACATACAAAATAAAATAAAAAAAAATTAGACAGGGTTGCCACGAAAAATGTTTCTCCGAGTTGAGGTACATCGGAAAAGTCGGCCATTTATAATAGTTATCATAAACGTCCTCTTCAAATACATATATTTTAGCTTGTTTAAGTAAATAAACAAATAATTTATATGCTTACAATTAACATTACAATGCTATTATAGTGAAAATTTTATGTTGCAAATAGATTCAGGAAACAAAAATGATCATCATTCTGACGCTTGTGATAATAAGTGAATTTTTTAGAAAATGAAGGAAAAAAAACAATGAAAAATTGTAGATTCTTAAGTGGAGTGGGAAGTGAGGAACACTCAACATAGGTATGAATAAATAGATCAAAAATAGAGTAACATTAATAATACTAATTATATTTTATGATAATAATTAATAATATATTAATACATTATAATAATACAAATAAATTTTGTATTTGAATTAAATCCTTTTTTGCCCTGTGCTCAGAGCTAACAGTAACATCTGCGAATGCGTTATGAAGGAGAGCACATCATCGTGGGATATGGGGATAAAAAAATGGTAACAGAAAAATGGCGTGTCGTACTAAAGTAATAATCTGGAAGATCCGATTCATTCAGATGAAAAATCGTTCCAAATTGCCATATCCCAAAGACATCGGTGCGGCGGCTCCCGGGACATAAACATAAGTGGCCACGGCTGAACGCAGAGGACCCCACTTGCCATGCAAATTACATTGTAGTTTGAAATTTTAAAACAGTCTTTAAGCGGCGACATAATCATGCAAATTTTCGTCTTCTTCCTTTATTATAATAATTAGATTTTTTATTGTTGTACCGGGGTAGTGTTTGAGAAGAAATTTAAGAATTTTATCTCGTAAATGCTTTCCGGACGAGGGAGTTTAATAAGTTTTGCTCGCGTTTTCTCGTTAACCAAGCGAAAATTTATATGTATTTCCATTGGTATTCACCGAATATCGGCGAAGCGGCTACTTAAAAAATTTGTTTTGTTTCTTTTGTGTCAAAATTGATGCAAGACATCTTAATTTATTTCCTCGCAACTTGAATATCGTAGGGGACAACTAAAGAAAATCTCAGAATTTCGCATTTCATACGATCTGATGGAAATTTTGTTCATATTACCTACCAGCTTGATGATCGATAAACGTTTACTCTAGAAAATTACTTTCTTTGTCTACTTGACATTACCCTATTATGCTTTAGTCATCAATGACTTCACCAGGAAACTTAACAGCTTATGTGGCGAAGCGGGAAAGTCCAATTATTACCTGTCATCTGCTACTTTTTATGCCATCCATCCATGGACACACTACCTAAATTTTCAAAGGTTTATATTTTTATTTCCAGCTTGGAGATTTGTCAAATCCAGAATTAAGGATCCTGACGGACCAGTTGGACAAGATAAGGTACGGAGGTAAGTAATTTTACAATTGTTTTGAAAAGCGTTGTATGTAGTCAAATCAATCAAATATTTTCTAAATCTAATTTATTTTATTATTTATTACCGCTTTTGAAAGGAACTTTCATTTTTTCAACCATTTATCAAAAATTTAGATTACATGGGATTAATATTGTCAAACATATATTTTCGTGGTCGTTATCGTCATGGAAGAAAGACTTTAGAATCAAATTATTGTTAAAAGTTTTGAAGCGGAATATGAGTTCTTAAATTTATACTTCAACTTCTGGCGCTCGATAAGCAAACGACCATCAATTTGTAATATCATGACATCTTTGACCAGTCTGTGCGCAAGTTCAATTAATTATGAAGTTACAAAAGTTATCCATGGGGAAGGAATACTTACGTCCGCCTCCTGTATATAGACGCCTAAGCATAAAACATTCGGTTTTGAGTGTGCAATCGCACCAACTAGATTTTAATAACAGCGACTCAAAATGTTTCTGTTGTTTACTTAGGTGAAGAGGTAGAAGTGAAACGGTTTTCAGTTCGGGGGATTCTTCCTGAAACTGAATACTACATGACGTACGATGGCTCGACGACAATGCCGGCGTGTTACGAAACCGTCACGTGGCTTATACTCAACAAACCCATTTACATTACCAAGCAACAGGTAAGTCTGCGACGATTGTGGGGCGCAAGTATATACAGACGTTTACGTTTTAATTTCCCTGGGAACTGCTAGTTACTTAACATACATTATGTCCTCAAAACGCGCTGCTTTGATACACAGCGTCTCTCTAAATTAGATGGTTTCATCACGTATTATAAGCCATAAAAAACATATTAAAGTTCTTAGCCCACATCGTCTTCATTTTTCTAGTCTTAAAGCTCAAGATTATTTTTAAAACCTCAAAAAATAAGTAATTCAAATTTAGTGCCGTTTTATTCTACAACTCTCAACAACTATCAATAGAGGCCTAATTCCGCCATTTTAGAAATTGTGTAAATGTATAAAAACACATTTTTCTCCCCAGTCTTTCGGCGATGGAATGGGTTTCAAAATATTATTGTTCAATTAACTCAATATATTTGTTTATTATACAATAAATCCCTTGCCAATTTAAAGAAAGCTATTGATTAAATAATATAACATCATTTATTCAAGATTTGGAAAATCAAACAAGCAACAAACAGTCAACTTCAAAATATATCGCCACAATGTCAATATAGATGTATAAAATTGATGGAATAATTTAAATTATTTCTCATTCCAGTAAAACGGAGAGTAATCTTCAAATTCGATGCTTGAAGAAGTGAATTTTTGTACGTACATTAAAAAATTAAATAAAAATACGAATATCTCGGGAGACAATCAACTTAATAGTATACTAATCAAGAAATTTGATTAACGTCATTTTAGGCACGAGTTTGATTAGTAAAAGAGTATCTGTAGAAGCTCATCAACGTGTTGCATACTATACTAGTTCTACGACTTTTTACTTGTGACTCACGACCGTGGATAGCGAAACATATTTTTCTACTCCCTAGTCTAAAATATCCAATTAGGCACATATTAATTTTGCGGAAAGTGTCGCTTTTAAAACATCAGCTTGATTACCCAGCAACGCGAGCTGCTTGGGATATTTCCGGTATTTTAGTCATGGGTTCGGGAGCGAACGGATATTTTCGGTAGATTTTAGCCACTGATGGTATTTTTACGTATCAGTTCTGATAGTCACATTTGCTCTTTTGCAAAAATGTATTCAAAAGCTAATAGTCTATTATACAAACTAATAGCCTATTATATAAGCTATAACGTAAATTTATATCATGTATGTTAAGATATATATTTTTTCTTTGCACTGTTTGCTGATAAAGGTGAATTATATAGTTTCTTTTCATTGAAGTGGTGTACTGACTATTTCAACAATATCGTCATTACTGTTGACGTTAGCAGTTATGTTTATTACCTACCTGTTTTATTGTCCAATTTATTGAAATTGAAAGAAACGGCAATAAAAATGAACAAAGAGATTTATTTAAGGGAGTAAGATTTTTCTCCGGAAGCTTCCATTAAAGACGAAACCGCATGCTTATAAACAAGACTGATATTATAAAAAGGTGACCCCTTCGCCGTGAAGAACTGTGGCCAGAGAAGAAGACCTTCATCCAGCACAATTAAGCACAAATTAAGAAACTAAATTACCACAAAGCTACATACTCGGACAGTGTGGTGACAGAGGTGCTGATGGCAGCTGAAACTGATATGATGTACCACATATGCAATAAAATATGGTTATCGGGGGAGTGGACGAAATCGATATACGTTCCGCTACATAAAAAGGACGATAAAGAAGTTTGCAGCAACTATAGAACTATATCCCTCATAAATCATGAAAGCTAAATGATGTTATACATATTACAGGACCGTCTGAACCCTTATCTTTTACCACAAATTTTTCAAGAGGAGAATTCATAGCTGGCAAAGGAACTCGCTACTAAACCTTTTATGGCAGGTGTTAGAGGAAATGGGGGTAACAAAATATTACAGACAGAAATGTATTGTTCTGTATCTCCTTTGGTTATAAGAAAGGCAACAGAGGATTGGAACGGAGGTGTATCGATCGCTGGTGGAAAAACTTCAAACCTAAGATACGCCGATGATACAACTATTCTGGCAAACGCAGAGAAGAAAATGGAATGACTTATCCAGTGAGTAGAGCGTTTCAGCGGGGAAGCTAGTCTTAAATGAAATAGAAACAAATACCGTTTGTTGGTCGTCGATAGAGCCGAAGTGCTCGAAAAAACAGAGGAAGAAGCGAAGAAGACATTAATATTTGGAAAGACCTTAATATCTGAATAGAAACATAAATATAAAAAACATAATAAACATAAAATCTGACCTGCAGAATCGATTGCTGCCCTCCAAGTTGTTTTAAAGATAATAAAAAAAAAATCTAGAAATGGGTATGTCAAAGAAGCCCCGCCCCTCAACGGTAATGGTCGCAGAATTAATTTTTCTTTTTTTTTTTTTTTGGTTACGAAAAAATGGATTTTTGCTGAAAAACTCTTATTTAAAGCACTTTATACTGGTCATTATAAAAATAAAACATTTTAATTATCTTACAATTTTCAAATTAAACAAGACACTCAAAAAAACATCATAATCTACGTTTTGCATATAGAGCATAAAAAAAAACAAAAATATTTATACGTCAAAAATTCTTTGGTATGTATAGGAACTAAAGGTTAAACCTACCCAAAACTAACAAAACATTTCTTAACTTAAAAACTAAATAAACTTTTGGCATAAACAAAAAAAATCAAAACTAAAATTTAAAGTTTTTTAATTTTCGATCCTTTTCGATCTCAGTTTCAATGTTAAAGGTTATGGTTAAATTGATCAGTGCTTTCTGAATTACAAAGTCTGCAAAACCACTTCTTGCATCAAACACATTATTCTTTCTTTTTTGGCTTTGCCTGTGACCTTTTTTGGCTGTCTATCGTAAAAACAAGGCAATTCTTCGTCGCTGCTGTCTGGGATTGGCTGTCACTGGGTATTCAATAGTCATCTGTTTTCCAGCTTCAAACTTCTTTCCTCTTTTTCTTTTTTCGCTTGTTCCCCTCATTTATTTCAAAAATTCTACCAATGATGAGTCAAGAAATCGTTCAGTTTCTTCCAAGTTTTCAGGCAATCCTGCTTCCTTAAGACTTCTTAAGACTGGTTTTAATCCTGGTTTTAAATTTTAAATTTTTTTATAGGGGCTGCATCAAATGTGTGGCGTTGACTTTAAAACGGCACTTATAAATATAATTTTCTTGGGCTGTTTTTATGTTTTAAATTATCCTTATCTGCCCATGTGGGGTAAAAGGTATTTAAAAAACTATTGCTCAAAAAGATACATGTCGAACCATCCGGAAGGACTCTTCCCATAAACATTGCCCGGGGGTCCTCCAGTACACCAGTTTTCATATAAATTGGCGCTTTTATACACTACCATATGGGACTGCACTTCGGCTGTAAGTTTTTATTATCCACAGCACCTAATTCATTTTTTTATGTTCTCAAAAAACTGCATAATGTCGGTTGTATCCACGGACAATCGCGATTTTTTAAAATTCGTGTAAGATTTAGTTTCTTGTTAAAGTTTTCGACAAAATGGGATCTTTGAATTCACGTACTCTTTTGCCCCGTTTATCCAAGAATTTTTTGACCACGGTACGAATATCACACTAGAGTTAAAAGGGAAACCCCACTCTACCACTTGGAATAAAGTGTTACGAATTATTTTTTGTTGACCGCTGTTAAGGACACTTGAATGACACACCGACCGGTTGTGTATACCAAGGGACTTATTACGAAGCGTTATGCTTGTAGTTTTATAAACTATTGTCCCGTTTGGATAGGCACACCACTTTTAATAGCTTCAAGTGCTTTTATTAAATCTTCGCGCGAATAGTTTCGATAACTCCGCGTTCTCGGAACTTTTTCGTAATGTCTTACCATTTTTTATTACTAGAAAAGAAAGGAAAATAAATGAAAAACAAAAAAATTTCGTTGTGTCCAAGCTACCCGGTGGTGTTAAAGCAGCCCCATTTTGTTTTCGAAATGAACACTACACATTAACAAATTAACAACTCAGTAACCAAGCCTAAACTTAATATTTATTTTCTATTCGCATAATACCTAGATAAGCTCTATATTTTATGCATTAATTCGAGTAAAATTAATCAATCAGTTAAATAATCAGCCCACTGGAAACAAAAGCTCACCTCTGTGGACACAATTTCATCTCAGAAATTAAAGTGCTTAAATTTGGATTAAATTAAAAATACTTATAACTTTTTAGTTTCACCTTATAGCAACCTTTGTACGGGGTTGCAACCGAATATTTTCTATGGAAACGAAAGCCAGAGATCTATTTAATTTAAATCAGTTGTTTCCTAAACTGGTTTAGAAATCCCCGCCGCCACTGGTTGTTCGGCTCTTTCTGTAATTTTGGCTGCCAACTTTTAGCTGGTAACTTCACACCGATATATTTCCGAGTCTCCGTGAAAGCCATTTTGTGGCAAATTTAAATTTACAGTTATTTTCTCTGTAAACGAAAATTAAAAAGTTTCCGTTTAATAAGAATTTTAATAGTTCGGATTTAATTGGATTAGAATTGTCAACAGAGAAAAAAAACAATATGCTTCGTGAGGGCGTAAGCTTAAGCAATTTGTTAAAGTGCAAGTCAAAGGAACGTGAGATAAGCATCGGTGTCGTAAATTACCATTATTAATGTCGGCCCGGCTATTTCCACTATAATTAATTTAAAAGTTTTAATTTTAAGATACTGCGCTTTAAATTGATATATAATACCGCTGAGGCGGCGTTAAAATTTCTAACTAAAGCTCTAAAATTTCGATCGGAAAACAATTTTCGAAATATCAATTATCCTTCTAATCATGGAATGATCTCACATTTTTAAACGGCCTGTAACAGGTTGTCTATACAGTTAATACATAAAGTCAGAGAGCTCTCAAAAAATGCTAAATACAACATTAAGAGTTTCTCAAAATATATCAAAATACGTAAGAGAGAAAGAAATTAATACACAGGGAGTCAAACAAAATACTTACAAAGCGCTCTGTATATTATTACAAATTTCAATTTTTAATATTTTATAT